CCAGTTCCCTCAGTCTTACCTCATACCATCCTGGTGGCTCTACGCTGCACCACTTCTAAGCTGGCTATATCCTTCCTATAATGTGGAGCCCAGAACAATGAATACAATGCAATTGCCACAGTGTTGTTATGTGATCTTGTGTCACACACAAATGAAATTGCAGAGGAGTTGGAAAAAGAATATGTGCAGGGAAGTGGCTCATCTCCATTTTTCCCCATCCATTGGCTATGTGCCAGTGCAAAGAAGCAAGCCAGCAGAGAAAAAAAAATTAAAAAGAAAAACAATTTACAGCTCCTCCTACCTCCTCACAAAAACAGTGGAAAAGGGGGTAGGGAGAGAAGAGGGGAAGGTTGTGGTTTTGTTTGCTGCTATTCTCCCACCTCTGATGAGGTGATGCCAGTAGGATCAGTCTATAAAAGCTTTCAATATAAATAAATAAAATAAATAAATCCACTACTCCCATTCCCCTTCACTCAAAAGCAATTCCTGAAATTACACACAGCTCTTTCCCCAAGAATAAGCACATTAAAATCAATGTGGTTTACTTCTAAGTAGACATGCTTGCATTACAGCCAGGATGTCTCACAACAATATATTGCTGATGGGAAAGTCCATTTCCCACCCTCAGCCCAGCCTCAGGGAGGAGGACTGTGGCCAAACTCAGGGAGGCTCGAGAAGTCTGGAGGGGTGGCAGGCTTTCATCTCATTCATTTTTCTTTTATTGCATTTTGATACTCCTTCCAAAGTACTCTGGGCAGCTTTCAGACAATGAAAATACTTTAAATGCATTATAAAAGTCATAGATATCCATACATATACATGCCACAGAGACACAACACACATATTTGTTGCTAGTCGCGAAGTCATGTCCAACCCATCGTGACCCCATGGACAACATCCCTCCAGGGCTTCCTGTCCTCCATCAGCCCCCAGAGTCCACTTAAGCTCACAAACACACATATATCTGAAAGCAATTTTAAACTGTCAACAACAAGGAAAAAATCAAGGTTTGATTAAAAACTTCATCATATATTGCCAAATGCCTGAGAAAAGAAGGTCTTAATTGGCACAGAAAAGATAGCTGTTGGTGCCAGATAGGTTTCATCAGAGAGATGATTATAACTGGGGGTCACCATTACGAAGGCCCTCTGCCTCCTTGCCCCCTTATGAGCAATCCTTGGAGGAGTCAACAGGAGGGCCCTGGGGAAAACCTTAGTGAATGAGTAGGTGCTAATAAATGCCCATGCTAATCAAAAAGGTCTCCTGCTCTGCCTTCCCGGGCACTTTACCGCTTCTAAGCCCTCCTCCACAGCACACCTGGCCTGTAATATTGTCAGACGTTCTGATAGTTAATATTAATTTAACAGGCAATTTGAGCAAACACAGAGACTGATGTGCTAAAGGATGCAAATAAAGGCTGGCGCAATTATCAAAGTAAATATTGGATAGAGATTAAGGGGAAGAACATTTTAGTTGAGCTGATTCCACCAGCAGTAGTGATGCTGCTTTGCCCTTGTGCAACTCAGCACGGACAGAAGGTAGCTCTCCTACTGTTTGGCCCTTCAAAACCAGGAGTACCTGCCAGCATGGACGATGGTCAGGACTGCTGGGAGCTGGAAGTCTAAAAGTGATGGAGATCTAATTTCCATTCAACCCAATGTATCTGATCATTCCAAAGGTGATGTCTGGTTCTCTTTTTAAACTTTTGAAAAGTGATGGATTATTATGCTGTGCCAGCAGTGCTTCTAGTTAAACACATACATCCCAAATAGAAACCAGTTACTGACCTTTTAGCTTTTCTGTTTTGCACTGTTTCCTAGCATTAGGGAGTGATAAAAACATCATTGTCTTAAATTGTATATGCTGAAGGTACATTATGCATCTGTTCCCAAGTTAGTTGGCTGGGTTTGCCTCTTGCTAGCAATGAAAAATTCATATCAGGAGAGTAGACACAATTCTAGAAATTCCAGGATATGCAGAGATAAGAAAAGCAGATCAATTTAGCACCTTTAATTGATGAATACTTTAAGTGCCCTGTATTGTCTAACAGTAACGGCCTACAACTAAAGTTGAGGTTGTATGATATATAATAAACATCAAACTAAGATGGTCAGTACACTGAGAGCACAGATGGGGCAAATTGGGTCATATTTGATGCCCAGAAGACTTGAACTGTGAGGTTCAAGCCAATGGGCCTTTCTGCTTTTGTTTGGGGAGTTTCTCTGATGCTTGCAATAAATAACATTTGTGTCTTCAGTGAAAATCACCGGCTGGAGATATTCACAGCTAAACTCTTTTCTACATGTATATCATCCAGTCAAGTCTCTGACCATGCACAAAGCAGCCTAGTGATCAGTTCCCAAAACCCTGCTAATGAGCCTGTTCGTAACCCAACCCTTGGGAAGGGGCGCTTGGTAGCAAGCTTGCCTTTTTCCCACATGCTTCTCAACCAATTGCGTTTCCTGCCTCTGCTGCCACCTCCCCACTGGGGCTAGCTCTGAGGGGAGGGGCTGATCTCCACTTGAAGATTCCCCAGTCTCAGCAGCCATTCCCGCTTCCTGTATCTCCATATGCTCCCAGAGTCTGTCTGCCCATCTTTGCTTCTGCTTTGTTCTCATCGGCTCTACCATCTCCCCTGGTTGTGTCCCAGGGCTTTTGAGCATCCTGCTCTCCTCAATCCCACTGCAATATTCATCTTTGAAATCTGAGTCAGCAAAAATGCATGACTAACTTCCCACGAGAACACTTGCCAAGATGTACCAACCTACTTGTTCCCAAAAATTGCACATTAACAGCTTGCTACTTGTGACTCCAATCCTGAGTGGTACTTTAACGAGACTAATGTGACACAGTGATCAGCTTCTCTGCAGTGTATATGAAAATATTATCACTTGGTTACCTATCTGTTTGCTCACACCTGAGCCTGTTTGCTCATACCTCAGCCTAAAACTGGCACACAAAAAGCAGAGAACAACTATTTAGCCACTTGGAGTGTTCTGCCTGGCAGTGGCATATTTGTTCTACTGCAAGCAGAACTTTGGAATCATGTTACCATCATGGAGGGCACACCTAGTAACCCACTGTTGCTCAACACAACTGTCTGTTGTGAATAAGCAAGCCGTCCAGATAGATCAGGGCAGCAGTTCTGAACTGAAAACATGGTATGTACCATTTTGCAAATATCCCCCTACCTTAACAATTACCTGAAAGAAAGTGTAGCTGAACTTCCTTCTGGGTCCAATATCAAATGACCTTATTTTAATTCTTCAGTTGGCTTAAATGTCACCATGGATTCATTTTCTACAACACCTTAGCTGACATTAGTGAACAGTAAGACAGCATCCTTTCTAACTATAGCTAAATGGGTTCCTGTTCAGGAATGATAGTATCCAGCTATATCCCTGGTGAATTGTGTTGGTTTTAGAATGGAAGTGAAAAACCAACTGACATGAGTCTGAAATGATATTTTAATATTGTAAGGTAATGGAAGCCTCCATTTTTATCATGCAGTTGTTGGTGGAAAAAATACAACAGTTGAAAGTTAATGCTGAAACCAAGGAATCTTTATTGCCTTCTTCATGGAATTAAAAAATGTTGCTAGTTTTAAAATGTGTTTGTCTCTTAATGAGCTGTTCATCTCATTTATGTAACAAAGTCTATGTCATTTATGTAACAAAGGCTATGTTCACACAAAATAAGCTAAGAGTTCTGACTGACTGAGAATGAGCACAATGCTAGCGCATGCAGCCTATTTACTCTTCCACTTTATGTGAGTGGATAAAACTAACCAGGAAGCAATGCATCCAAAACCAGGATCCTGGTTTGTTATTCCCAAATGAGCCAGAGTTCAACTCTCTCAATGTAGAATTTAACAGATTTGCTGCTTCCTGGTTTCCTTGGGGGTTATCTCTTTCAAATGCTATCTTCTCTGTATTCTAGGTACATTTCTCAGTCCTGAAGTATATTTAATCTTATGAGGTCAGCATGACTATATTTCTATGTAGCAAAGATTTTCAAATCAAGCTTGAAAATATATATGTCATGGATGTATTTTTCTCTACAAGTGGATTAATTTTTCAGTGCTCAAAATGCAGCAGCTTTCATGATTTCCATGGGTGGGTAGGGATATACACACAACACAATTATGTACATTTTATAGTCATTTGAGTGCCTCCGAAATATGAATATAACTTGTGGATAGTGCAAGCCTGCTCCTGTTTTTATGTGGAAACTGGAGAACCCTGTTTGTACTCTAGATGCAAATAATGAGAGTCAATTTTAAATATGAATAAGTAATGAGTCAAACCTTTTAGCTATAAAAGTAGCAATTTCCATTTATTCACATATTTATCTTTCTATTTTATTGATTCCGTAACATTTTAGTAGAGTCATGAATCAGTCTTTGTTTAACCATCCAATATGGTAAAACATAAGCTGACATAAAAATATGCACGTACTCAAGGACTGATTATTGTAATGGGAAAACATCAAAGGAAATCAGTTCTGCAGAGCTCAGTGAGTACATGCTGCGTTTACTCTCAAATCAGTAAATGCCGTGCTGTACGTATTCAGTGTTATAGCTAGGACTGGACCTGGGGAGAGGACGTGACCTCCCAGAAAGTGACTGGCGATCAGGCAGGCAGTAAAGCAAAGTGCATTTTATTCCTGTCGTCATGATGGTGCTGTGATCTAAAATGAAAAATTGACCATGCTCAAGGTGTTTTGCTTGTTTGCAAGTCACGGGTGGCAAATGTTCTAATATAATAGGACTGGAGAATCAGTCGTGGAGCATGGAATAGTTGTTGGGGTGCTGAGGTGCACCAGTGCAGGGCAGAGGAATGTTGTTGGTGTGCTTCACAACTCGGGCAATCCAGAGAGCCATCTAAAGGGGCCTACCCTGCAAGTATTAAGTCGGGGGTATGAAATTACTTAGCTGCACCATCACATGTATTCAGGTCTGAGTTTGTTTCCACTCTGATGCATTTTGGTTTCTTTTTTAGCCATTTGCTTCTCATATCTACTACCCATTACCACACCCTGCATCACCACATTATCAGACAGGGATACCAGGGTCCAAATTTCCTGTGAACTTCCAAAGCAGTGGCAATTTCTTTGGCAACATGCTAGCCAATCCGACTGTGATTCCGGCCTTTAAATTCCAGTCACGGCAAGAAACTATCGACTGGAGACGGTTCAGTGCCATTGACGTGGAGAGGGTAGCTCGTGAGCTGGATCTCAGCACCCTCCAGGACAATATCAAGGGCGTCACTTTTTGCAACCTGGATGGAGAGAAGTGCCCCTACTGTCAGCAGCCAGTAGACCCCGTTCTCTTAAAGGTCCTTAAGATGGCCCAGCTGATCATCGAGTACCTGCTGCACTCCCAGGAGTGCTTGAGCGCAAGCTTGGCACTTCAGGACGGGCAGCTCCAGGCAGCTCTGGAAGACCAAAAGCACCTCAAATGTGACTTGGAGAAGCAAGCTGAAGAGCTGAAGAATGTTAAGGAAGAGTGCAGGAGGCGGAAAAAGATGATTGCCAGCCAGCAGCTGCTCTTGCAAGCTGGGGCCAATAACTACCACAAGGTAAGTTTCATGGCTGGGTTATTGGATCAACTCCCAAGGGTCAAATTGCAGCTTAGAGAAACTGCTGAGGGCTGCAGTCCAGTGGTGGGTGAGCCAAATACCCCCAATACCAGCATTTTTTCCCCCTTAAAGCTCTTCAGGCCAGTAATTTAGGCCTTAGACGAGGCATTTCTGTCTTTTGGAGTGTGAGTAAAACTTGCACAAAAGCTAAGAGATTATTGAGGGGGAAAGGGGAGAGGGCCAGAGGAAGGGGTCATGGACATCTAGGGAACCCCAAGGGGGACAGATGGGAAACCATGGAGGATCTGATCTGGCCTGCAGGCCTGATTTGCATCACCCCTGTCTCAGTGGGGAAGAGGAAAAGATACTCTTTCAGCTAATGGCAGTGACAGCACTCAACATTTCACATACATAAACTGAGGCATGCTTAGGCACTGACAGCACTTCTGTCAACACAGTAAGGATTTTGAGGGCACACGTGCCCCCCCTTCAGTCATGAGTACACATTGCTGAATGCTTGCTGTATGCGAGATTTGAACATACTTATCTGCATTTGCTGTTTACATAGGCAGTTAGTAGTAGGATGGAAGGGGAACTTGTGCACTCTTTTTTGTGAGCATGCACCCCCGCAAGGTTTTTTGGGGTTTGCTCTTTTGTTTCTAAAGAGCACCCAAAAAAGATAACAGTGAGACTGAGAAAGCAAGAACCGTAGCTGATATAAATGGAGACAGTTGGAGCACGGCAGTCACAGGGCATGTAAATGAATCCTGCTTTTCTTCCACCTCCTCTCTCGGTCAAGGTAGCAGAAGCAAAGATGGACTAATGGCTACCATGGTGTCAATGCATGTTTTTCTACAGAAGTTCACAAACAGCCCAGAATGCATGGTTAGTGTGGTGCCAGTGTGGTGTAGTGGGTAAGAGCGTGGGACTGGGACTCGCTTGGCCATGGAGCCAACTGGGTGACTTTGGGCCAGTCACAGACTTTCAGCCCAACCTACCTCACAGGGTTGTTGTTGTGAGGATAAGATGGAGGAGGAGAATGATGTAAGCTGCCTTGAGCCCTTTGTAGGAAAAAGGCAGGATATAAATCCATAAATAAATAAATAAATAAATAAATAGTTTAAGCATGTCGGTAAGATGGTTCTGCTTTAGGACTGGAAGTGAATGAGGTCGTTTTGATCCCCACCTATCCTACTGAGATTGAGAAATGACAGACTTGGGTGAGAAGTTACAGGAGTGTTGGGGGGCAGCATGTCTAACCTGCTTATTCTTTCAGGGCGTGAGTTTTCATCCTTCCATCTGTCATTTACTCTAGTGCCAGCTCTGTGACAAGACCTTTATGAACTATGCCTTTCTTCAAGGCCACATGGAGAGGAGGCACCCTGAAACCACTGCAGCTGGTGAGCAGTGGGAGTTCCTATCAAGCAACTTTCCTATCAAGGAGGTTCTAGGGTTAGGGCACCTAATGAGGAATTAATATTTGAGATTACTGATTGATCCTTTAATTTCCAGGAAGATAAAACTGAATAAAATATCTGCCCTTCAGATATTTTGAACTGAAACTCTCATCATCCTAGGGCAGCAATGGTAAGGGGTTATAGTTCAAAACATCTGAAGGGAACTAGGTTTATCTGGAGGGTTGCTTGTCCTCAAGCCCATAATAAAGAAGTAAGACACATTGCTTTGCTGCAGTCTAAAGACCCAACTTTATTGGAACTTCAGCTTAGCAAAAGATGTACAAAAGATCTTAGAACTGTAGGATCCTAGGACTCTAGGAACTGTCATGCAACCATCTCTGACTTAGGATGAACTTAACCTGTCCCTGCATTGGAGGTAGAATATATCCTACCTGCTCTCTTCAGGGTTGAGAACATCCTGAGTCACTGCCCTTGAGCCCCACAATTCTAAGTGTATGAGCCAGGTTTGCATCAAAGGTGTTCCTTTCCCTGCTTCCTAGTTCTTAGAGCCCTAAATAACAAGTCTGGGTAAAACCACATCACATCATGCGTCAAAGTACTGCAGCTTTTAATTCACCATTTACATGACTCCCATCAAGTCCTAAATCCAGTTTCTCCCTGGCACACATTCAGGCAATGTAGAATAGACAAATTGGGTCTATTGGCAAAACATTCCTACTGGACCCATCCCAGATCACCTAATCCTACACTGTGACACAAATTACAGTGGGTAGATTGTACTGACATCACTGTGAAGAGGACCAGTTAGAGGTAGCATGGGCTTGAGCCCCCACAGATAGTTTTGCCCACTCAGGATGCAGTGGCAGAGTCATTCCTACCTGAATCTGTTTGGGATGGGTGGCAGAAACTAAATTATAGGAAGGAAGATCATCAGAGGGCTGTTGATATTGGGTGCATCTTATTTTTTTTATGCTCTCCTTGCATCTAGGTCCATTTCTAGTGATTTTTACTAATTACTCTTATACGCATTTTCTGACTTTTAATTCAGAGTCAGAGCTGAAGCAATCCCTGTTTATAAGCATAAAATATTTCAGTGGAACAAATAAATTTAGCTTGATCAAATAAAGAAAGCAATATAAGACATCTTGATCCATAGCAGTTATCTGAATTCTGTCATGTTCAAACTGATTCTGTGGCATAACAAGCATCAAGCCCTTCTGCAAATTACTCCAGCAATTATGTAGCATTTCAGAAGCATAGGTCAATCTTGTAATTGCATGAGAATGAATTCAATTACTTAACAGAAAGTTTTCCAATTTTAGGAAGCAATTCTATGGTCATTAGAAAAGTATCCCAGGGACCATAGGATATTTTGACCATAGGATGATATTCCTCTTCCAAGGTCATAGGCATCAAATTAGCTCAAGAAGGAAGATCTAAATGGAGATGGTTCTTCCCATCTCCCCTTGCAACTGTGGCAGAAATCATCATGGTGCCTTCCTCAACTGAGAATGCAAATGAGGGAGAGGGGTAGGAAGGGGAAACCCAGAGGATCCACACCATCCCAAAAGCTCTCAGCTCTTCTCCCACCCCTCAAATACATGTGGTCAAATTGCATCTAGCAATAGAAGGACGCTGGAGAGGCAAAGATTGCTCTGTCATTCCTTCTGCTCTGCTGAGCATCTGCTCTCAAAGCACGGACTATTTGAAGTGCTCCTTTGGAAAGCAAAGGGTTGCTCTGCCTATTTCTTCAAATTAAGCTATTTTAAAAATTTAAAGTAAAAGTTTTGAATTTCACTTTTTAGGTTTGTCTTCATCCTCCCCCACATATGTCAGATTTTAGATTGCAAATTTCTTGGGGTAGGAATGTATTCTTTTGCACTTTGCAGAGTGCCATGCATCTCAGAACACATGCAATAATGGTACAATTACAATAATTATTTACTCTTTAAACTGAAGTACAGTCTTGAAACTGTAGAGAATTTTTGATAAGGAGATGTGAAGCTGTTTGAAATGTAACATTTCCATACCCACTTTAAATGTTTGCAATGAAGACCATGATGCCTCTTTTTGAATCAACTTTGTAGAGGAGAGGAAGAAACAAGTGGAACTGATTGAAAGTGAGATTGTAGACCTGAAAGCCAAGCTGAAGGAGACCCATGCCCAGCTGGAGGCTGAGAGACAGTCCAGGGCTCAGGTATGGACTAAAAAGAACATAAATTAGGGGATCCCCAAAGGCCAAACACCTTTTGGCTTGCTGGATTTTATGATCTCTTTGTTTTGCAGCCAAAGTGGGAAGATTTCATGCCCTGTGCAGAAACATTGAGGGGGTGGGTGGGCTGGGGGCTTTTGCATGTCAACAACTGCATGGCACCAGGCTGCCTTCCCCTACTATACACACAGCAATTAAGTTCCATTGAAATCAATGGGGATTGCATTTGAGTAGGCTTCAATAGGTTAGTGCTACAAATCTCTTTGATAAAGAAAGCATTCTTTACAGCTCCCTGCTTGCCCCAGCCTATGGGCTGAAGCCCTACTGAATACTGGAGCCAAATAGGCAAATCCTAGTCTTAAGTCTGCACCCATCTTATGCCTCCAAATATCTCCAGTTCACTCTGAATGACTGTTGAACAGAATGTTTTAAAGACAGCTTCAAAGCTTCCTGGATTGTCACAGTTTTGAGAGAATTGTTCTAACCAATTTACGTCCAGCTTGGGATTGTTATTTCCCTGGCAGGAAGCAGAAAGTGTTAACCAAATTGAAGAAGAGAGAAGGAAAAAATTTGAGAGATGGAAGGAAGAGGAGAGGACAACATTTCAAAAGGAAATGGAAGACCTCAGGCAACTGTTCCTCACTGAATTCAAGGATATTTCCAGCAAGAATTCCACCTTGGAAGGGGTAACAGAAATGCATGGCTCACTCTTCCTGTTCACATGATCAGTTAATGCATTTGCTACCTTTGGTGATTTTTAATGCGCCAGATTACTAAAAATGCTCAGATGTAAGTAACAGGATTTTTTTCTTCAAGGCCTGACAAAGTCTTTTAGGACAACAAAGGAAATCCCGAATCAAAGTTGTTGAAATGTAAGAGCAGGAGGGTGGACTATTTACAAGCCAAGGTCATGCTTCTCTTGAATGCCTGGGCATTCTTAGTCATAAATTATTGTAAGGATGTGTGCAGATACTTGCTTCCTTCAGTCACTGAAGTCTGCACAATCATTGCACTATTACTGCATTCAGTTGTCCATATGTTGGTTTAAAAACATTATCCAGGCATGAGAGAGAGATAAGAGCAGACTTGGATGAACACAAAGGTTTGTAAAAGTAGGAAAATATTTAGAAGAAAATACCTTGCAGGTACTTTTAAAGCATGGGTATAGAACCACTTTCGGTCCAAGGACTGAGTTTCAGAAAAGTTCTGAGACAGCCACAGAACAGCCACAATGAAACACTGCAAGCCAAATTTTATCACTGCTTTCCAACACCATTTCTAAGAACAGCAAGTTGGTAGACAAGCCAGATTCCAGGTAGATATCAAGAAAAAATTCATGACAGTCAGAGCAGTATGACAATGGAATCAGTTCAAGATTCAACGGGACAACCATCTGAGAGGGGTGGCATAACGTGGAGGCAGGGAGTTGGGCCCTCTGGCCCCTTCCAACTCTACGATGTTGTGATTCTGTGTGACTCATTATGATGACATTGGTGGAGAACATCTATGCCAAATCTATCTATCTTTTTCCAATCAAGATTGTTTATGGTCCTTGAAACAATGAGAAACTTGCACCTCTTGTGCTTCCACATACATATGGTCAGGCCTTCCTAGCGACACTGACGTTCACTTACAACATGCCATGAAAACCTAAAATAATTCAGAGATACCTTTTTCTTTATTTATTTTGATTGTTGCAAGATGCTCTTTGACATTGACCCTTTACATATATACCTTATTCCTCCTCCAGAAACTCCAAGAACTACAAGTCAAGAATGTCATGGTCTCCAATCTGGGGACACTGCAGGATGACGATTGTGTTGATAAACAACAGTGGAGGAAGACTCAGAAGGAGCTACAGGGAATGAAAGCAAATATTGAGCAACAGGTGGGGGACCTGGATGCAGCGATGCATGTGATCACTCACACTGTACTATGAGATCTGCAGGCTAGCACCTCTTCATACACAGAATAGCTAGGTAGTAGGAGACCACATAACAATACTCTCTTCCTTCTCCAATCTAATACATTCTGTGGTCCAGTGGCACCGAACCATGCCAACATTTTGCTGATCAACTTTCTGATCAACAAGTAATTAAGGTTACAATCCACACCTCCTATCCTGGGAGCAAGCCCCATTGCTCTCAAGGGAAGTTACTTCTGAGTAGACAAGTGGAGGGTTCCATCGCAAGGAGGCTCCTATTGCCAAGCCCTGCAGAACTCCATATTTCTACAACTGGGCACCTAAGCAGCAGGGCCGATCACTGGTTCCCCAAAGAAGAGGTGTGCTGAACTAAGTGGGCACCAGCAGTCCTCACAGGCTTTTCAGCAGAACAGTGGCACACAAGGCCACTGAATGAACACGATCCCATGATCCCATGAATAGAATGAACAAGATCCCATGACCTCCTTTTAAGGTAGCTCAGCACCCTAAATCCAGTTCAGCAAAGAATGTGGTGGCAAGGAAACAACACATTTAAATACATTCAAATGATTTCTGAATAATGTTTTATAACTGTTGTTGAAGAGTACCACAAGTGTGAATAAGGCTGAGGCTTTTCCCCCCAATTTGTCAGAAAACAGAGTGGAAGTGGAAACTGAGGGAACTTCAGAGAGAACACCAGAGAGAGAAGGAAGGGGTGAGTACATTGAAGAGTTCTCCCACAGCTCTCTCTCCTGTTACTAGAGTACACACAACACATTGGAGTACACACAACACATTGGAGTACACACAACACATACTGGAGGAGCAGGATCGTGCCTGCAGGCTCCATTTTCTTTCTCTGTGCTCAGCATTATGCGTGAAGAGAGCCATTGTGCTCTGCATTCATAAATTCTGTGCATACTCACTCCTGGGGAAGTTATACACATATATAGGCATTGACTGGACTTCAGTGGAGTAGTGCAGACCTACTGGGTTATCACTAAGTGACTATATTCAGGACAGTAAAGCCAGTTGGTGCAGCCCGTGTCCAAAAGAAGCCAAGAGAAGGGGAGAACATTCTGTTCACAACAGCTAAAACACAAGGATCCAATGCATTTCCATAATGCTCTGCTAGGGTTTAGTTAAAAGTTATATGCATACTTCTGAATGCCTGTTACATGCATACTTCTGAAATGGCAAGATCTTACTGCCAAATCAAGTACCATTTAACTGGTGACTGGTGTAGCTGCATTCAGAACACTCTGCTCTGCTAAGTCAGAATTTTCTGCTCGTACAGAATGGCCATTACTCCCAGATCTCTCAATAATTTGCTCTCCTCCCAGTTGAAAGCTGAGAATGAGAGACTCCGTGCCTCCTTGTCTTCTGGCCAAGGGAAAATGGCTGAGCACAACAAGCAGCAAATGGCATCGTTTACTGCACAACTCAGGGAACAAGCCAAGATCATCCAATCTCAAGAGAAAACAGTAAGCCAAATATGACCTCCTCCCTCCAGTCCTGGAAGAAGCTCTTTATTTCCCTCTTGTGGCTCAAATTCAGTAGTACTCCAGAGGTCTCCTTTGCTCCAAGAATCAAACTATACAATAAGCAAAATTAAGTGGTACAACACCGGTTGGCCAGTAACTATTTCAGAATGTGATTGGCCAATCACATGTTTGAATATTCCCCTAATATAACATTCCTTGTTGCAAAGGTGATTGTGATAATCAAGATGCTTTGATGGAGGGAATGCTTCATACTGCAATAGGATTTATTTCAGCAGTGCACAGCTTTGAGGTTCTGGCTTTACAACCCATCCCTTAGCATAAAGGATATAACATATGTTTGGGACCCTTTTGGAGCTATGCTTTTAACTGCTTCCCATTGTCCCCAGTTATGCAGAGAGTCATAGAAAGTAAGCAAGTACTAGTCCTTGTAAATTGGGGTGCAGAACCTCAGGCCAAGGGGCCCAATCCAGCAGTCCTATTCCAAGTCTCCAGGGTTCCCCAGATAGCCAAACCCTCTTTCCCTGACTCCAACTGTACCCTCTCCAGCCATTTTGGTCCTTTCCTGGCTTTTGTGAAGTTTTCCATCCATTCTAAAAGGTTGAAATGCTTCTTCTATGGTGCAATTACCCTCAGTAAAAGTTTTAACCTAAAATATGCTGGTATTGGGGGTATTTTGGCCTCATCATTATAATGCTCAGATTCACAACCCTATGGAATGGCACCCTGAGAGCTTCTCCAAACTGGAATTTGGCCCTCAAGTTCAAAGAGGTTAATGCCCCTGTTGTAAATGAAACTTGTTCTTTTAATAACTTATTTTGCCTTGCAGATTAAGCTGCTGTCTTCCAGCAAAGCCAGAGGTAATGGCCAATATCTAAGAGAAATGAGTTTTTCTAGTTATCACCAGATCCTTCTTTCTCTCTTTTGACAAACTGTATAATATGCAGGCAACTTTGGGGCAGGCAGGAAAGGAAATCCTTCAAAAGCCATATCCGGTGATTCAAAAGCACACAGTGTAGTTAATTATCAAGCCCTTGCTCTGAGGTCATTCTGAACATTTCACCCTTGATCCCGGTGCCCATGGAATTAAAATTGAAGCAGGCCTAGAAGCAGGAGAAGCCCAATGGATTCCATAGTTATTTGCTGTTGTACATAGCGACAACTAAAGATTGCTTTCTGGAGGCTAGAGTTTCTTAAAGCACTCATACAAAATAAGTACCAAGGACAAGTGATGAATAGTGGGTCTCAAGTTGCAGGCTACTTGACAATTTAAAAGGAGAAATTTACTTAAAACACATCTACAAGGCTGAGTTTGTACAGTCATCTTTTTATTATGCTACTAAGAGGCCAGAGGTCCTTAATTGTCTCTCGAGATTTAGTTGACTATATGATGTTTTATTTCTGGAATGATAGCAACTTCATCCTTCTTTGTTATTGGCAGAGTCTAATATACTGGCACTGACTTGCAAAATGTGCAGTCAAATTAATCCCTTAATTGTAGCAGAGTTACAAAGTAAAATGGAAAAACTTTGGACTGATGTTAGAGATGCCATTTCTCAGTGTAAAGTGCTTTTGAGCCTTCTTCCCACATTCGTATGTATATCTAAAAACAGCAGTGTAATTACTGTCATTAGTGATGCACTTCAGATAGGGCCTGCTCTTGAATTGAATCTGGATGATTTGGAAAGTTTCATGAGAAGTCTGAATCAGAGCATGACTATTCCAAAGTGGACCAAAGCCTAATTAGAAACCTTCCAAAGCACCCAGATTTAGACCCAGGCCCCATCTCTGACCCTACAAAAAATTGATGGCCCTAAAAATTCTTCCCCAAACTTTACATATATGGTGTTTGTGGTGGGGTTTTAGTTTGGAGACTGACAGTTCTAGCTTTTAATAGCAGAAGATGGTTTTAACAGGGCTCTCCAATCCCAGTGCTCTGGGGCAGGGAAGTTGGAATAATAGATTACAGGGTGTTTCACTTCTTGTAATGTTTGTGCCGAGTGGAAAACAAACCAAAAAAGTCTTATTCATGTTTCATTTGTTTGAACTCTCTAGTCCCTATTCTTTCAGCTTTCTTATCTAGGAAGACCTCTATGTTATATTCCATTTCCCTGAATCACTTTCCACCCCAAAATTCCCTTCCACAAAAGTTGCTGTATTTGCATTTCCAAAATTTTGCAGATTTCTTAGCCAGGGTCACTCTTATATATTTGGGGGTCCCCCTTAAAAGGAAAGTGCATATTCCCCCTGTTCATTTGAACCTGTCTTGATCAAATGTCCCCTCGGCTGGAATATGGCAGGTTTAATTTCCTCAGGAGGGGCAACTAAGCTTGCACATCTCAAACAATTCTGTCAAGGAATGAATTGGTGATTGGCAATTGGTTTAAAACAAAATTAAATGGAATCTAGCAGATACGTATCTTGCACCTGATTTATCTGGAACCAGGCAGGTTTCATTTCCTCAGAAAGGCTACTGTTCCTATAAATTTCCCATTCTGTCAAACAACAAAAATGCTAAGATCATTTTTAGATTTCAAATAGTAGTTAGTGGGAAGCACAAAGGTTTGGATTTTCTAATTCAGATTTGGATTAACCCTGTGTCAAAATGAGCAACCTCTGAATCAGTCCAAGATGACTCGAGCAGTTTTAAGTGAAACAAATCTTGTGGCTCATGATCAGTTCATATCACCATCATCATCATCTGTATAGCCTGAATTGCCTGAGCCTGCCTAATCTTGGAAGCTATGCAGGATTAGGCCTGGTTAGAATCTGAATGGGAGACTTTAATCTGCACTGAGCAGAGGGTTGGACCTGATGGTCTTCTAGGCCTCTTCTAACTGTATGAGTCTATAATTCACCTGAAATAATCCACACCAACACCACCATCCCATCTGTGTATGTGCTGCTTTACAGAGTGCAAGAACACTCTGTAAAGAACACTTCCTCCCCTGAAGAGCTGTCAACATAGTGTGTGTTCGGGGAAACAAACAAGGGGGAAAAGACATGGAGTCAGAAGTAAATGGAGAAAGAGCAGTCACACATGTTTGAGCTTGGTCACAGGCTTAAGTGCAATAGGACATGGGGATCCTTTTAAATATACTTGCACCAGGCATAAAAATGTATGGAAATCCATGCAGCAAAGAGAGTTTAGAGTTGCATTCAAACCTTTCTTTCTCTTTGAAAATATATTGAGATACCTTCTCTTACCTGCCATCAATTTCAATGGGACATGTCTATGCCAATTTGCAGAATCTGTGAGTTCCTCCAACTGGGATGTGAATATGGTGACCTTTTCCCTTTTAAATTCCAGAAATCCAGGAGGTTCCTAAGTCAGAGAAATCAGAAGAGTCCTCCGAAGAAGGTACCTTTCACTAATTCCATCTACTCTTGCTCTGATTTTATGCTAGCCCCTTTTGTTGCTCAAAGTCCCAGCCTGAATGAGAAAGTTTAGTACAAGTTCCAGGTTAGGCTAATTTGTTTGCCCTGGAGCCTGGGACAATGTATAGTCAGAGAACAAAGGAAGCCACCCTCTGCTGAGTCAGACCACTGGTCCATCTAGCCTAATACTGTGGATACTGACTGCCAGCAGAGCTCCAGGCATATTTTTGCCAGTCCTACCTGAAGATGGTGGGGATTGAACATGGAACATTCTGAAGGAAAAGCATGTGCCCTACCACTGAGCTAGGGTCCCTCTCAAACATTCTACCGTGTAACTTAGTGGCTAATTATACTAAAAAGTAGTGCAAAAATGGATGATTATTTGGTTCTAGCCTTTACAACTTCTGCTGAGGAGTATATGCATTATTATAAGTATTATTTGCATTGGATTCTTTCCAGCAACCGTGGCAAGCAGGCATTGGGCTTTCTTGTTTAGCCTATTTTTAAAATAAAATATCAAGAGTAAATCTTTATTATCTCTTCTTATATAGGCCGGAATATGAAAATACAGGCAGATTTCTGTGATGCCAGCAACAGATGGGGAAAAATAATTTGGTTCACATTTCAAGGCAAACTGATCTACTTTGAACTACCTGAATGAATACAAAACTCAGAATGCAGATATCTTTCAGTAAAATGCTGTGTTGTTTAGCGTGTAGCTTTGCTTTATGCTCAATTTATTTGTCATTTACCATGCATACCAAGGCAGCTATTTTGTGGTACTGTCCAGGACAATTTCTCAGATTGCCAAAGGTAATTGCGATCCAGAAAGACTGCCTTCCCCTGGTTTAAGATTGTTTCCCCATTCTGAGGACTGGTTTCTCTCTAGAACTGGCAGATTCAGTGGACTGGAAGAAGAGGGCTCTAGAAGCACTGAGGAGGAATCCAAATCCGAAACAGTTCCGGACAATTTTGGAAGAGATCCTTGAAGAGAAACTGGAGAGAATGGGAGTGAAGCAGGTAAGATCCATGAAAAGAAAACACTGAAAGAGAACGAGAACGTTCTCCTCCCTTCCTAACACACCAGCTTTTTCTCTCTCCTTTTTTTCTCTTTCTTTAAAGAACTCTGAATTCCTGTTTCTAGGATTGCAATACCTATTAATATGTCTGGTAATAAAGAGTCACATCTTAGCATAAACCTCACTGCATCATCCTCAGTGTGTGTGGCCACTCACTCCTAGCTAGGCAGAAGAGTGCTACGGTGTTGCCTTTTCTCCTTCTTCAATGCCAGGAATCTTTATTTGAGAAACATGGCTTGTGAAGGGGGCTACATTCCTCCCACTGCCCCAGGGGGAAATCAGGAAATCAGTACCTTTTCCCAAAGTGCATGTTAAGGAACCTTTTGCATAATTCATTCCTGGACTCAATAATCATGCTAGCAGTGATTAGAATCACAACAACACATGTGATTAGATTAGTGCAACAGATATTGCAAATAATGGAAGAAATGAAGTTGCAAGGTGTAGTCATAAGGCTAAGAGTAAGGAGATCCTTTAAAAATCGTGAGTGGTAGTTTGATTCACTTTTTAAAAGTCCTGAAATACTGGAGGAAGGGGGTTATTTTTAAGTGCAATGAAACAATACCACAGAAAAAAGTAAGAAAATAAATTAGATATAAAAAATGGAGCATGGTGGTTAGAGGGTTGGACTAGGAATCTGGGAGCGCCAGATTCTAGGCCTTATTGGCCATGAAGTTCACTGAGTGATATCTGGCCAATCCTAGTTTCTCAGCCTAAATGACCTCACAGGGTTGTTTTGAGGATGAAATGGAAAAGAAGACATGCTTGTAAGCCATCTTGGATCCCTTGTAAGAGGTATGCATATAATAACAGTAATAATACGTTCAATTATATGTAAACAACAAAGGCAGACCAAATATCCATGTGTACACCCATTCAAGAGAAGTGCTTATCTGCTATCCATTCAAATATTGAAAGCATGTGAGGTGAACATTTGTTCTTTCCAGTATTGTAATATTAATGTTAGCTATCAAAATAGCATGGAAAATCAATTTATGATGACTACAAATTAACTTTCAGGTAAATAATTTAAAAATAATGTATACATCAATAAAAATTACGCAGTGTGTCCACTGCAATGTTTATCACATTATAACCACCTCCCTCAAAGAGGTGAGCATTGGACATGTGCAAAACAAATGATTAAAAAAGGATTAGTGGTATTATAATTGCAGCAGTTAGCTGACTTAACTAAACCCTTATTTAAAAGATGTAATCTCCAATAAACATGAAATAAGCATTTTTTGCTGAAACCATCACAACTTCAGATATAGATGCTAAAGTGCAATTCATTGATTAGATGGCATTGGACATTTAATTTCCTATTGCATTCCTGCATTACATGGTATGTATTTTATTTATGCAGCAGTAATAAGTATTTGTAAACATGGATGGTGAGTTGATATAACTGTTCAGCCTCAACAAGTGTTCCAACAGTGATGGAGAGTGTGGAGCTGTAAAAACTACAAGGCCAAGACTAGATTCTTACAAATATTGCAAAGATAAGCATTGCTACTGAGCCTTAGCAGACAAACATTTCTTACTCAAATCTGAAAATAACAAATACTCATAATCAATCCCCACTAACTGATGCAAAGTAAAACTCAGCTTATCCATCCAAATCTTCTATGAAAATATTATCTTATCAATTTTTAAGTCTGCCTTTTGCCATAAAGTCAATTTAGCATGAGAAAATGGATCAAAATGTAATTGATATAATGTTATCCACCAAACGTTTTTGGCAATCATAACAGGATGGAAGTCTGTCTGTTTTAATATGCCAAGAGCTTAATGCCATCCATTTGGAAAGAGGATCTAGACAAGATTTCCCAAGTAGAAAATCTAATTAAGTGGAAAAAGACCAAAGTGTAATACAAGTCAGCATATGAATTTATCCGGAGGGATCCAAAGACCCACTTATTTGAAATTCATATCATTTTCAAGGATACTTGTGGCAGAGAAAAAACACACACACCACACAATACAATACAATGAATTTATTTACTTAGAAAAAACAACAAAAACAATTGATCCATTGTTCTGTTTTCTAAAAAGAAGTTGCCAGGAAAGAATAAAAGTATAACGAGGCAAACTGTTAAAATCCAATGCAGATAATGTGGAATTATTCAATACTGTGAACATTGGATTGGGTCAGAGCAAGGAAGAGTGCAATTCTACAAACTGAATGACCCCACAGATATAAGGGGAAGGAAACAATTTCACCAATTCTCAATCCCAGCCTGAAGCTTCTGGAAAATGTTCCTGAAAATCTACTCTGGGAGGCTGGGGTACTGTAAGGAGGGATTAGCTAAAATAATTGCTGCATCTCCTTTCAAGAAGGAGCATTTCTGTTCATGGGTGGTCTGTTCTGGAACCAACCCCATATTTAAAGGGGAAAACTTTTTATTGTGTGTGTGCCATTGTGCATTGAAACAGTTTAATTCTGCACTTTAACATGCTTGCCTTTAATGTTAAATGAAACATTACTGCTCATAAACAGCTACAGAATTGAGTCAGTTAAATTTATTGTCGGGGAAAATACTACCTATGGGGAAAAAAAAAACCACCCTGGGGATATTAAATACCTAGGTGGCTCATAGGCTTTGAATTAAATTAAGCATTAGAAAAGAAGGGCAGCAAACAGAGAACCTGGCGTATGAGCTACAATTCAGCTCAGTGCTGTATGGTGTTTCTCAGATTTTTCTATTAATGAAACTAATCATACCAGAACTGAGGGAGGTATCTGTTTTCAGTGAAAAATTATTGGTCTCTCCCAAAACCACAAGAGGTAATGGAAAAATCCATTGGTGTTTTCTCCATTAAAAGGAATGGGAGTTAAGCAAAAAGATCCCCTTGAGTCAAGTCCCATCTAGATCTGAGCTCTGTTCATTTGTTTTCTGCATATAGTGAACATGCATCAGTAGAGGAGTTGTGGTAACGGGCTCTGCCCCTACCTGTGCACATGCCATTCAGTGTTGGAAGCAACACTGAAGCAAATTTGGTGCATTCAACAGAGGAAGAGTCTCCCACTATGATAACTTCTACCAACCCTCTACCGACATACACTTTCCATACTTATGAGGAATGTATGAAAAGGGGATTGAATGAGCAGCAAGATAAAAATTATGCAACACTATGGTTATTCAGATTCTTTTTTCCTGATAGGGTACAAAAGGTATCCCAGCTGAAACCTATCAACACTTGAAAAAAGGGATTAAAATCCAGCAACAACAGAAGGGCAACACATTTCCCCATTTCCTTGAATTGAGAAACCAACTTGAGCAAGAAGTGAAAAAAAGAATCCGTTGGGATCAGAAAAATGAAGAGAGCATGCCCCTGCAATTCACAGTCCGCTCAGGTAAGAGGTGATATTATTATTATTCCTATTATTAATATTAGTATTATTAGTATTAATTTCCCTTTAGATTATTGCTTTGTGAAGCAGGGCTGTCAAGGTCAGGACAGTTTGGAAGATGGTCTTTCATAGGGTCACGAGTCAGAGATGTGAGCACATAATCGTGGCAACACACACACACATACTTGGCCTTTCCCAGATTTCCAAAAAGGGAAAACAATCTAATATAATCAAAGTCTTTAATATGTTTGCAATCAATTAGACCTGTTTGGACATGAACACATGTCATGGTAATGTTCTGTTTCACTCCTTTGAAATGGGGGTATCTCTCCAGAATTAAGAGTGATCTGCAAATAGTGTAAGAATAGGCCACATACTAGCCAACCTGTTTTCCTCCATATGTTTCCACGCTTTCCTTTCAGGTAAAAACCAAATGAGTGAACATGCTCCAATCCAGGTTGCATCTTCCAAGCAAAGGAAGGAACAGGCTGAATTACAAACTTATGCCTCAAAGGTACCCATACCAGCTCCCCGGAGCAAAGGTAGTTCCTTGGCTAGTTTCATGGAATCTCCCAGGTTACCTTCTCCAAAGCAAGCCAGGAGCAGCCCAACTTCCCCGCAGCACTCTGCTGTTCATCATCCCAGGTGAGTCCTTTATTAAAAGGTTCTGGGTTAGAATCTGTCTTCCTGTCTCGTGCTGAAATGTCTTGTTCTGCTCTTAGTTGTATTGTATGAACTGTTCTTGTAGGCTACTTTGAATTAATTAATTAATGTAAAGCAATGTAAGGTCCAGGGCATGAGTGGCCAGATGACAGATAACGCACCAGGACCCAGGCAACAAGGAAAGGTGATACAAAGCCAGAGTCCAATTACCAGTCCAAATCATAGTCCAAGTCATAACGCAAGTCATAATGCAACATCAGAGCCAGTGTGGTTATTCTGACGTTTGGCCAGCAGGAGGAGCCTTGAAGCTGCCCAGATCCTGACAATGAGGTATAACTTGATCAACATCATCATCATTGTCGTCATCAGGCCATTGGGCTCAGTGCAGGAGTCCAAGTTAAAACATCCCTAACAGATGGCTGTCCAGCTGCATCTTTGCCTTCAGTGTGGGACAGCCTATAATCTAGATATTTGGTTCCATCATCATGTTGTTCGAACAGTTAGAAAGTTCTTCCTCATGTCTAGCCAGAATCTGATTTCTTGTAGCTTAGAGAAATGTCCATTATTCTGTGCCCTGCACTCTTGGGTGATCAAGAAGGGATCCTGGCCCTCCTCTGTGTGACAACCCTTCAGGTGTCTGGATGATGATGGTGGTGATGCTGCTGAGTATTCCTGTCCTAAAGACAGCTATTTCCCCCTCATTGTGAAAGAAGGGCAAGTTCTCACCATTCTGATGATCCTCCAAAATGTTCTCAATGAAAACTTAATCCAAATCCCTGTATAGCAGGCTAGACAAGAATATTTATTTCTCAGTGTTTCTCTGTGTTACGTTTCTGTTTATCAGCACGTCACCTTTCAGCTCTGAAGAAGAAGAGTGTGAGAAAAATCCAAGTGTTACCTCTCCAAAGCTCACACCCCTCAAGAGAGAACCAGAATCTTCCAGAGTAGCACAGATAGAGGAGAGTGAGTGGGATTCATCTGATGTAGATTCTTCTGAAAGGAAAGATAGTTCAAGAAGAGTTCTTTCCACCACAGCAGCAACAAATTCAGGTGAATAATAATACTTATTTATAGGCCAAGAGACTAAAGGCAACTCTCAGGCAGTGCTTCAACAAGCTCAGGAGCTGACGTTCTGTTCACATGTCACCACTAGTGGATGAAGTCACTTCTTTTCTTCTTTTGCTTCCTTTAAGTGGGAGCAAGGAGGCTTGTGAGCAAGTGGGAGCAAGTGAGCAAGAACTCACTATGCTTTGAGTTCTTTGAGCTGAAATAGCAGCATTATGGGAATTCGGATGAATCACATATACTAACATTGTGGCAGGAAGTGGGTGTCTTCTGAGGATGTGTGCTGTGTCAACAGGTTCCAACATGCATGAGATGCTGAAAGGCTGCTGCTTGCCATGTCTAGGACAAGACTTCATTCTTCAGCATCTGAGCTTTGCATATCCCATTAATCCATGAAAGGCATGGGTTTCTACTATGTAGACTATAGCCCTGTAGAAGGGATCTATTTCCCTTTCTCTTGCAGCAGCCTTCCAAAACCTGGTTTGGGCAAGTTTTGGACTGCAGTTACCAGAATTCTTGACGTTTGGCCATGTTGGCAAGGGCAGAATGGAGTTGGTCCACAGCATCTAGAATGCCAGTTTGGGGGAAGGCCTGCTAGCACTCCAAGCTGCACAACTGCAATTTGATTCAGCTTAATTAAATCCCCACATATTTTGATCTACCCTCTGCCATTCTTCCCCTTTCTCACCTTTATTAAACCCCATCTCATGTCCCTCTCAGAACTGCTGTTTCTGTTGCTCACAACATGCCACAAGTAATCACACAAGGCACCCACTTAGAATTGCAGAAATGGGCACATTTCATATATCGTTTCATTATAATTCCATTCCATTCTCTTTCTGCACTGATCTGCATTTTTAAAATCTCAAAATGTATATTTTAATATGTATTTAAATACATATTTTAATATGAATCACTTCTGTGCTGCTTTGAGAAGTGCAGACAGGACATTTCACACAGAAAATTTGCCAAAGAGAAATTCCTCAAGCATCTCTAGTTCACATGTGATTGGTTAGCAGTGGACTTACCAGTGTGGATGCTCCGCACAACTGCCATTGCATTTAAAAGCCATTTCCTGCCCCATAAAGGCAGGGGTGGTGTGCCCACAATCTGTTTCTTGTGAAGATAAAAACTCTTGCCACACAGAGGAGTGGAATAGTATGTTACATGTCTATTGTCATACATTTCACAACACCAACAGCCCATTTCTTAGCTTTGTCATTCTGGGTGCTTTCCTTAACTCTTTAGCTTTCTTGACTCAGAAATGGGTCTTTAAGAAGTCACTTATAAACAAGTTTGCTATTGACTGTGATTAGATTCTGATATCAGTTGATTCCGCATAGAAACTATGGTGCAATCAATGGCGAAACACCTGGAGCGGACACTGAGTGCTCCTAGAAGAAAACCTCCTGGTAGAGTGAAGCTCTTTTCTGTCGAAACTGAGAAAGTTCCTACGCCCAGAAACTCATCTAAAAAACTTCAGGTACTCTGCAATGTGCATTTGATCATAAAACCAGACAGTAGGCATCATTTTTTCATTTCTTAAGGCTTCTAATGCACACATGTGCAGTTTCCATTATGTACTGTTTACTAAGAGCACAATCCTGTTCACATTTATTCAGAAGTAAAACTTACTGTGTTCTATGGGCCTAATTCCTAGTAAATATAGTCTTGTAGCTTTAGTGTGTAGTGTTTTGGCAAACAGCATAACTTTATCATAGCCATTCTATCAAAAGCAACAGTAGGCAGCAAGCAATTAAAAGAGCTTAACATTTTGGTGGAACCCATTTAACCTTCTCTGATATTTGCAAATTTGTATTTATTGGATACCATTACACTATTGGCCACATTCTGCCAATGGCTGAGGATTGAACAAGGCACAATCTAATAGGAAATTCTTCTGCACAAGACCCATGGAAATGAATAGAGGAATAGCTGTGCTCCACCTGATTGAAGGTCTAGCTAGTCCAGTATTCTGTTCTTCACTGACCAACCAAATGCTCTGGGAAGTGCACAGAAAGGACATGAGCACAGAAACAGCCATGTGCTCCCATGCAATGGGCATTTAGGGGCAAATGGTCTTTGATACTGAATTATGCAGCCATTACAACTAGTATCCATTGATGGGCTTCCCCTCTTCTCTTTCTCTAATTCACTTGGTTGGACCAAACATCCCAGTTGATGTAATAACTACATCTTGAAATAGTGATTTCCATTGTTTAGTGAAGAACTACATGAGTGCTATTGAATAGTTCTTCTCTATTTCAGTTGTGCACAGCATGCCTCTCTTCCCTTAATAGAGAATATTTGGCATTCATATGCTCAGTTCTAAGGTGATGAATGAGTATAGGAAGCATTCCTAGAAGTTCTGATATTGAGCATAGAACAGAACAATTTAATCCACAGCTCAGAACCCGGGCACCCCAGAAAACTGTCATATTTAGTATTTTATACTGGTTTTCAAGAAGCAAATAACACCTGCTCCAGAGCTTAGATATTATAGTTATGAAGAATGGTTCAAGCCATTTCTAGTTCATGTCATTTGTACACATATTCAGTCATAAGTCCTTTCTATCCAATTTCTACTTTAAGGTGTGTTAAAAAAACAGATAAAATCATTTAAATTAAAATGCTGCTTTTAAAAGCATTTTATTGAAATGTATGCATTTCTCAACATATCTGATTGCAAAATATGCATTTGCTTTGGTACCTTTTTTAAACCAGTAAAAGCATCAAAAATTGGGAGAAGTGCAAAATTGGAAGGTTAATTGTGTTCTGATTTGCACATTACTCTGGGAAGTGTGGATCTGGTCAATTTGCCTTGGAATTCACATAGATTCAATGCCTCAGACATGCCAATGTTTAGGAGGCTTTTGTATGTTTTCTGCACTGCTTTCTTATGTTCTCTCTTCCCCTTTGCTTTAGTTAATTGAACAGGAGGGCAGCGACTTGGAGATTTCTTCCTTGGAGGAAGTCACCCAGCAGGACACCAAAAGCTGGCTGAAAAAGCAGCAAGATGCAAGGAATAGCCAGAATTTGCCTCAGTCCCAGGGAATCAGGCTCTGGAGTTCCAGCAACCCCAGGAATGATGCCTGGTGATTCCTGTATTTAGCTGAGCTGTGCCGGACCACATAACCTGGTTGAGAAGGAACAGAACCCCATGAAAAGCCAAAGAAAATTATTGTAAACTCACAAAGAAAAGAAAGGGATTTAAAACAAATTGAACATCACCAGTTTTAGGTATAATTTTCCTCCCAAATGTTGCATTATTTGCTAGAATGTGTCCCACACTTGTATAACTTCCCAAAGGGGTGTCCACAAGGTCCCACTCGCCTTCCCCACTTGCGGTCCCCTCAGAGTCCTGGTCAGCTGAATGCGGAGAGTTCGGCTCATAGTTGCGCATTTGAGGAAACGAGTTTAAAGTGAAGGTTGTTGAATCAAGCTGGCCACTTGATGGCACCACAACTTAAGAAATATCTTTAGATTCCACCAGTGGCACTTCTTGCTAAAGAAAGCTTTTTCAAATTACAGTGAAGTTGAGTTGAATGATCCATCATAAGCATCTGTGTAAAATGAAATGTACAATAACAACACTCTGGCTTGATCATGAATCTACCCCCACCATTTCGTAATAGTAGTAGTAGTAAAAAATCATTTATTTTTGTTATTTTGTGCAATGCTATAGTATTTCCCAGAATCATATTCTTTGCATGTGCTATCTTTGCAGTTGAGCACACTTCAAACAAAAAGTATTTTAAGACTTCTCAGACACTGCTGAATTGGTTGGGGAAGGAACAGTTACCCAGGCAGATCTCCTTGCTCTGGCAGCACAAAAAAGTAATATATGTTTATATGTTTCTCTAAAAACTGCACAATTAAAAAAGTTTCCCAATTTAAGACAAGAAATAGAATTTTATTTTTTAAGTAAATATAATTACAATTTAACTTCAGTTCCTCCAAGTGGTAAATCGGGCGTTTGATTCTATTGTAGAAGGATGCTGGAATTTTTCAGCCATGGAAACTTCAGTCAATGTCTATAAATTATTCAAACCACAGAGTATCAGCCATCACTGGTAAAATTTTCTGATGATAGGAAAGGGGTGAATAATCTCCAAAAACTAATTGTTTCTACATTGGGTTTTGTTTTTCTGATGCAAAGTTTTGTTGCAGCTGGTGTGAGCATATTAAATGTTCAATATTAAAGTCATTTTTACTAGACTTTAACTTAAAATTCCAAAGGCACACATTACATTCCCATGTTTAACAAATCGCAAAATGTGTTGTGGTTTCAGCAGTTTTCATGGTTTAATAGTGGTTAAGTGAAGATTTTTTACCTGCAGAATACTAATGTTGCTAGTTGTGAAGTTGCGTCTGACCCATTGCGACCCCATGGACAACATTCCTCCAGGCCTTCCTGTCCTCCACCATCCTCCGGAGTTCACTTAAGCTCACACCGACTGCTTCAGTGACTCCATCTAGCCACCTCATTCTCTGCTGCCCCCTTCTTCTTTTGCCATCAAAGAATACTAATACATATGCACAATTCTGCATTAAGCTATCCTAATTTATCCTTGCAAAATTCATGTAGCAGCTGTATATTTGCATGAAGTATCAAATAATATTCATAGAATGCTGCTTACTTAACACAATATTTGTCATGCCATAGATAAAATGATGGACTAGAGCAGGGTGGCCATTTGCCTGGGGAGGCTGGCTCCCTCTGGCAAAATGCACTGTCCTGTCAGCAGCAAAATCCTCCAGAACTTTCTTGAAAGGAAGAGGAGAACAACAACAACAACAACACAATGTGTGCCCTGTTTACTGGCAGGTATCTGGAACAGCACAACCTACAAGGTGTTCTGAGTCAAGAAGACCATAGGACCTTCTTTTGTTGCCAAAAGAAGCTTTGATGCCATTAAGAAAGGCAAGCCCCCTCATCCTTGAATGGGGAGAGCTGGATGTGAATGATGAAACACACACACAATCATTTTGGAATGACTAGATATTGCACTGAATAATATCAACCAAATCCTTTTGGTTGAATTTTCCATTTGTTCTGCAATGAGTGCTCATCCCCACAATTTGAACAGTTTGACAGCTGATTAAACAAACACAAACAAATAAACTGGCTCAGAAAATACACAGATTTAGAGAAAAAGAATAAGCATTGTTAATTAACTATGTGGAATGGAACTATAACTGTGATGGTATACTATTATTGAAGCTTTATTTACTTTAAAAAGTGTGCCTTTTTACTCTAATACTGTAATCTAGTGGCTAAATCTATGGACAGGGTGGAGCATGCACAAAAACAATGTGTCTCCTTATTAACTGGTGCTCCCAGGGCACTGTCACAGGTGCAGAAAGAGCACGGTACTAAATGCATACTTAATTACGAGAGAACATGGCTCAGAGAATAGCTGGATGAATTAAATGTGAATCAGATCAAGACCAAGGTCATGTTTAATTACCATTCTATATGGAATCATATTAGAATAGGGAGCACACTTGCAAATCATGTGTTAATTAATGCTATCTTTGAGAAAGAGCAACCATGTCCCAAGCTGTCACTGAAGGAAATCCATATTTGCAATCCTACAGTGTTAGATGTTCAGTGAACATCACTTCCTACTACACGGAGCTGTAGAATAGATATGTCCTTCCTCCCATGCAGAAAACTGCTGTGTTTTTAAGCAATCAATATGAAACAAAGCTGTGAAAGGCCAGTACTGCGTGCAGAAGAGTCATGAAGTTCAAAGGTTCATGCAAGCTCACTTCTAAAGTGATCATGATTTAAAAAAAAAAGCGCTTATTGAAACCGAGGTTTTGTTCTTCCGGGGCTTTTTTTGCACTGCACTGACTAGTTATGGAGCTGCAGCTATAAAACAAGGAGTAGCAGTTAGAGGATGAATTTGTTGTGGGCTTCACAAATGAAGCAATACACATGACCATCTAAAGTGTGTATGCATGCACACATGTGAGCGCACGCATATGCATAGGGTTATTAAGTCCAGGGTCTACAATTATTGAGCTGCACAGCTGACTGCTTGGGAACAGTGTGACAGACCATTCTGCATGAAATGACACAGGTGGCCCAGCCTCTTCTATGGTGCAAGAGGTAGAGGCAAAACCCATAAGCAGACACTATGAACTGGAAACATCATTCCAGTAACCAGCTGTGCATGAATGTCAGTCCAGATCATAAATGAGAGGCATAATTTGCGGGTATTTTATTCAAATTTACTTATAAACCTAAAGCAAAAACCCTAGGTTTGAGGGCTGGAATTTTTAAACAATACATGGGAAAACAGGTATTCACGTCTCACTCTCAATTCATGAAATCAGTGTCTGAAATCTGTCCTCTTTTAAAATCAGCCAATAACTATATCTTCATAGCCTCAGATCACCATTCTGAAGTTCCGAAACTGAGATAAAACTTTACATGAGTATCCATATTACCAAATTATTCATTTATTTGGTGGCTGTAATTGTTTATTTCATTTCCTTACCACCCAATAGCCAAAGCTCTTTCAGTGGTTCTTAGAAAAACCTGCAAAGTTAAGCCAGTTGAATCATTCATTTCTGAAATAGCCTTATAAATGTACAAATTAAAACAAAAAGAAAAGAAAGCCAATAATCACCAAGGAGCAGACATACAAACTAATGAGACTTGCTAGATTATACTATGTTGGTGGGTTTACACAGCACAGCAAGCCATGGTGGTTTTTTACCATTGTTGGGCTCTTGTGTCATCTGAACTCCTTTGTGATATTTCAGTGTGGAACTTTTGGTGTTTAGAAACCACAAACAGAAACAATGGTCTGTTGTATGATTTCTTGGTACCACGATGGCTTGCTGTATCATATGAACCCAGAACAACACAACTCATTGTGACACCAAGGTCAGAACCAGAGAGTTGCTTGGCAAGAGTGGCCTCTTGCTGCTTTCGCCAAGTAGATAACCAGAGATAGCCAGCTCTTTGTGGCTGCTGTTCTACTCAGCTGCCAGAGGTGTCCCCACTCTGCCACCTCCTGTTGCACCTGGCCCTAAAGGACTTCTTTAGGGCAGGAGTGGGCAGGAAGCTGCTCAGCACTGGGAAAGGAGCAGCTGATTCTCACCCCTCCCAGGAGGACTCAGAGGCAGAATCAGCAGAGTGACACCTCTCCCTTCCACAGCACCGCCCAAGGGATTTCCACCTCTTTTGCCTGAGTGTGGATCAAGCAGATCCCCCACTCCGGGATCTTCCCTCTTCCTCTGCTTCTAGGGTCATGAACCTGTTTGCACATCAGAAACTGCTGGAGAGACATGGAGAGACAAACATGGCTCTTAATCACAGCCGTCAAAGAAAGGAGCTTCATTCCTTCCCAGGGTGTCACCTGGATACTGCCTGGAGGACTGAGAGGAAAGGAAATAGGAGGAGGGAGTAGAGTTACCATCATGAGCCTGATTGTCCTTCAGGTACATTCAGGTAAATAACTGGGAACTGTGGTAACCATACAGCGATTTGCATGTTACGACGTGTGAACCCATCCTGTGTTTCATGAGGGTGCTCTCATGACACTGTAACACATAAGGATTAAAAGCAAGATATCATTTTGAATTTAGCCACATGGTGGTGCTTTTAAACTACTTTCATGTACAATAAAAACCTTAATAGAAAGCACCTATGTAGCTGTATAATTTTTTGAAGGAAAAGAACCATAACTGGAATGTGGTTATCTCCATTATCAGCCTAATACAAGTTTCTCACCTAGGATATGTGTGAGACTGGATTACACCAAGTGAGCAGGAAGTGAGATATGATCAACCTTCATATGGTATGCTTTGAAGCTGGAAATGGAACAAAGAAAGGGATTCTACACAGTAAATAATATATTAACATTCATAGATAATACTTGATTGAGATCTGATAGTACACATGATCCCTTCTCTATTGAACATGCAAGTTGATGTCTGCTCCATTGCATCCTCCAATCTCTCAGAGCAGATTTGGGACTGCTAAGGATGGGAATCTTTTCCATGAATGTTGTCCCTTCCATTTGCAGAAGTGAAGAATTAGATTTGGATTTTTGGACTTGGATATCAGCCAAGGCTTTATG